ATGGTTTCGCGAACATATTGATATTTGTGTTTAAAATTTATAAAAATATATTAATTAAATAAAAAACAGAAATATAGCCAATACTGGTCAAGAAAAGGAGTTTCTATTATTTCCATCAGTGCAAATTACAAATCCCTAAAATCCCGGGATTATTTATCAAGGCCGGGATTAACATTCCTAATACATATGTATGTACATATGTATGCATGTAAATTCATGCAGGTTTATTAACGTTCGTACATTTGCTGATTGATCATATTCGCATGTCGAGTGCAACGGAACGTGTTCAATGTCGTGTAGAGCGGCAAATATTTAACAACAGCAAATAATACGTGACAAATTATGCTTACTGATTTGTGATTATCGTTGCACAGTAGCAAGTTAACAAACGTGCAACTAGCACAATAACAACAACAGCAAATACAATATTATACATACATATAAGCTCAAGCAAGCAATTAGTTGCCATGAAAAACATACAAGAAAACCAACAGATGTAGGCAATGCATCAACAACTATGCCATATGAGTTGCGCCACCACTCAGCCATGTATTTAACTCAGTCAATATTCTCGTATGTATATGTATGTATGTACTTGTACCCAGGCGTGCACTTTTACACTAAAGTGCAACCAGCTTAGGCGTATTAAAAACCATAAAAGATTGCTATTTATCGCTACTTTTGCGCTCTATTGGTTTGACTTTGGTTATTGGCGTAGCTTGCATTTAAAACACAGCTGTATATTGTGTATTTGTATACATATACATTAGGGTGTTTTTTTTTGCGATTATTGTTTTTTCACTCGTTAATACATATTAACATTAAGTACACGCCCAAGGCGTACAAAGATTTCCCATATAAAATACACGCAAACTTTGAGTTTTTTCTTCAAAAGTCTACAGCTCAGAGGCATTTTATGGTATAATCTTGGTCAATGATGTGTTTTCTTCAGAATAAAATGCTCTACAAGAGCGTTCATTGCGTTGTAAACCTAACTCCCACCAGCGAGGTAATACGCGTCACTAAACCCAATTTTTTCATGGAATTCTCGTTTTTTGCCCCTATCTCGAAAGTAACAAGAGCTACAGAAAAAATATAAATGACAAATTGTAGGAAATTCAATTTGTAGGGAATTCAATGTTTCGGAACACCAAATTGCTAACATCGATATTTTTTGTGTGAAATTTTCATGGACTATTAAGCTAAAAATTGTTGATCAACTTAATGTTATTAAGGGTTAAAATTTTCAGGAAGTTTTTTTTAGATTTTTTTTTCCAAAAAATTTCGAGGTAGGAGTGAAAAAAAAAACAATAGTCACACCCTAATATATTTTCCCGCACTTATTTCGAAACAGACATTTAACTACTGTGCAAATATTCATTATAGTGTTCCAACAGGCACACTCCTCCAAGTTTTGTACCTACAATAGTAATTTTTTTAGACGGCACATCACGCTACTCATGGGGCATACAAATGCACACATACAGAGCCATGCTTACCAACTTTTACCTAAATAGCGGTTAGCGCATTGAACTGGTCAAAAATACATTGTAAACAAAATAACTAAATTGCTGTCACGCAGCATTTTCTGCACATTGAACTTTGCATGTTGTGGCACATTTTTACTTAAGTACTAAATTAATAGCGGCAACATGCAACTGTAAGCCCGAAACGCACACGCTTACCAGAGCTGAACGGCAAGGGATTATGGAGAAAACTCGGTTAGATTGTGCTGATTTGCATACGTTTTACTAGACAGACATAATCGTACACTGAAGGACCGAAATATAAGCTCACAGTAAAAGTATTTATTAGCAAAAAATTGTCGGGCTTAAACTGGGTTTACACGAACAACACGAATTGTGAAGAGTCGATTTAAAAAAGGGTCAGATAACTAAACCCACGGTATACAGCGTATTCTGTTATTGACTTTAAAGACTTTAGGGTTACATTCTGTGGCTCATTTCATTATGAAGGATACCTTAACCTTTATGTGTGTCCAACCTAATTAATTAACGGTGTGGTCCAACCGGAGTACCAGTTACGTATTTATATGTATCTAGAAGGCGACTGTAACTAAGTATAATCTTGGGCATTAGATGTATATTGATTTCTTTATTGTTAAGGAAGATCTTTTTATACAAATAAAATTATAGTTTTATGTACAAAGACCTTTGTAATACAAAGCCCGGTATAATCTGTAATGAGCCAGAGTGTATACTTGAGAATTTCGAGAAGGTATGAAACATCAAACTGAAAAGGTAAGCAATAAGAGCGTCGTTATGTTGTTTTATATCAGAGGAATATACTAGAACACCTTTGAAACAAATATGTATTATGTTTACTTGGAGCCGCCGGCAGGACCCGTGCACCACAGTGCAGTCGTTATAAGAGAGCCGCTCGGAAATTTTTTATTATTTTTTGTATCGATATCTTTAGCGATTTTACAATTTTTCATAATTCATAATTTTTTTATATTTTATTGCCTGACCTCAGATAAATTTCTCCTGAGTGGGCAGCTGCCCGCGGAAGTTTGTTGTGGGCTTTTAGCGCATATCTTTGTTTAACACAGAGAACCTTTAGTTACCATTCAAAGAATCTGTATAATGTGGTAACACAATGAACAATCTAACTAATGTCTAAGTGAGTCGTGGTCTGCCACAATATCCTAACCTTACCAAGTGCTACCAAACGTTATTTTCATTTTTTACAAATATTTTAATAATTTCGCCGAAAATTTACATAACTCACAGTAATAATGATTTGTGGTAGACCAGAGCTGTACCGTACAAACAGGCAATTTGTTTTAAATTTTGCGGGCATACACGAATATTTAAAATTTATTTAGAGGAGCATCATATGGATATAGTTACCAAGTAATGAGTTGAGTGAAATATGCTGAGCAGACTTTTTTGTGAGTGTAGGGCTGGGTGTTCTATTCGGATAACCAGATGGATGGATATTAACCGGATATCCAGAAATCAGCACAACAAAATTAACGGATATTTAACGGATATAAACTGGATATGAACAGATCCCTGAATACACGGACAGCCCTGGCTGAAACAAGTGGAAACCCTCATGAAAAATATTTTCGAAATTAAGTTCTCCCCAACTTTTTTTGTTTGATTGCATTGTAATATTTGATTGATTTCAAGGCATATTAAAGAGGTGGCAGAATTGGAGCAAAAAAAAACTAGCTGTGAGCATTTTGTTGTTGACTGTTGAAGGTAAACAAAATTTGTATCAGCAAAGTAAAATTTAAATAAGAACAATTCAGTTACCCTGCGCTGCTACCAATTCCATGTACCTTGATTGAAATTGTTAATTCAATATAATTTGGCTTTTTTAAGAGCTAGCAAATCTTTCAAAAGAAGTAGCCAGTTGCGCAACCCAGGTCACAAACTATTCTTGTGCAAAATTTCGTGCAAATCCTTTTGATTGTTTTCGCGTTATTGAGCCACAAACATACAAATTGTAAAACCCGCAAACTTGCAAACTTTCATAACACTGCTCGGCAGTCGTCTGGGGCTTCGTAAAAATATCGTTTTTCAAACATTAATATAGTTTTTGAAAAACAATTTTTAACTTGTTAGCTTTTTTGTTATTTATATTTAGTAGGTACTACTTCACGTCCTATGGACTTATGCTTGTGACAACGAGTGTATGAGAAATTTTGTAAACACCAAAAGTTATATAGTTAACCAAGGTTCTACTTCAGTGTAAGCGGAAAACGGAATGAGAGCAAAACGATTAGTGTACGGTGGAGTGCTGTGACCACTTACTTGCCAAAAGAGGAAAATCGATAATCGACTTTTTTATGTAATCTGACTAAAAAAAAGATTCTCGCATTTTTTACAAAGTTTGTGATGGATTTCATTTTCCCTGTAAATACAGGTTAATGCTTAAGTAAAACAATAACTGAGAAGCGCTATTTCGGACTGAAAAATTTAAGAATAAAACCAGCAAAGGCAGTCGAGTTCAATCTATTAACACATTATTGTGGAACCGCATAACTGACGACCTGGGTGAAAAAAATATGCTTGGAGGGCACGGAAAAGTCAACACAAAACACTTAAAATTGCATAAAACGCTTAAAGCATTAAATGAATGGCTGGGCTGATGTCAGCAAGTGGTACACCCTACAAATTTATGAACATTCATGCAACGCCAGCACTGCCACAAAATCGACTATAGCAGAAGGGACCCAAAAAGCAATGGATAAGAGACAATTGCAACAACACGCCTACTGCAATGCCTTAATGCTTTATGCCATCATTGCATCATAATTGCTTTGGTTTTTAGTATTGCTGTGTATGTGTGTGCATTTTCGGATTTTCTTTTGCAATTGTGAACATGCAATAATGCCGCTAAGGTATGCATACATGCATACATATCTACAAATACATAGTACACATACACACGTAAACGAGCTTAAATATTGCTCTTACACATAGTAATGCGTCCATTCGCTTAAACGTTTCGCCTAATGGCTGTAAAATAAATGCCACACATTCATAAAAGCAAACAAGGCAAAAGCACACTTGTGTAGTCTTACACACATTTGTATGTATGGACATATGTATGTACATAAGTGGATATCAGCAGCTGGACAATGACAGTACGGAAAAGGAAACGGCAGAACGCTTGAAATTCCAACTTTTTTTCTATTTGAATCAAACAATCGAGGCAGTTTTCTGATGGCTGCTTTCATTGGTTTTGCATTTGAATGTGAGTGAAAAATATCTCTAAACACCCCTAATCGATTTGCATATTCCCTCATCGCTTTCTACCATTATTTTGCGATTTGCTACAATGCTCGTACATATTTGTGCACGTTTCTGTGTGTATGTGCATATGCATAGTTATTTGTACAAATATCCCTCCAAGCTCTCAGTTAATCGCAGCAACTATTGCCGTACAAATGTTCATCCGTATTCACATGCCGTTACTAGTACATTCATTTACATATATAATTCACTATTGATTACTTACCAATGACGGTGAGATTGATTTTCAGATTTCTTGTCGGTGAATTGCGGAAATCCACGCGACAACGATAGACGCCCTCATCTTCGATGCGTACATTATCGATTTTCAGTTGAGCGGGGTGTGACGTACTGCTGAAGTAGGCGCGTGTTCCGAATGCCAATGGTGAGGACCACAGCCGCGCCTGACCGAATTGGCGACCACGTACGTCAAAGCTAAGAAAAAACGAAAAAAAAACAAACTTGGAATTATAGTAATATATTTTATTGTAGTAGACTACCTGAATGAAAATAAAAATTCATGCTAACTGACACTGTAGGGCTATCCCTTTATCTGATAAGGAAACCTTCTCTCAGGATTTTAGCCATGTGATTACTCAATTCTTAGTAAGAATATCAATGGTAAGAAAACTCTTTTTTAAAAAATGTATGCAGTCCTTACATTGCTAATCCTAGTCGGGCTATTCTAAGTACATACGTTCACACATATATGTATATCTATCCTGACTTAGCGCATTGATGGGAAATATCCATCCAGGTAATATTATTATTGAGGCCTTTTTTAAATTGGCTCTTAAATGGTCTTCAAAAATATAATAAATTAAACTGTGGAAAAATTCTTATACGTAAGGAGATCGATTTAATTATTTATTTATTGGATATAATGACTTACTTGTAAATCGGCTCACCGTCACCTTCGCGAAACCACAGCACCATATATACGGCATCATCGCGTTCCATGGGTGAAATATCACAAGGTAGCATAGCTTGTCGTCCTAGCACGCCTTGTACAGACGTCAGAGGTACTAAAAGAAACAAAAATGAGAAAGTAACAATTATTATTAAGTTATAGATGTGCAGCCGTTAAAAAATAGTTAACGATAAGATATAATTAATTTCACATACTTCAGTTTTTTCACGTCTTACGCATAGGATTTTATTAAAAATTTATTTTTGGCTTATCTTTATACTGAACCTGCTAAGAAAGCCCCTAAAACTAATGAAACTTATCGGTTATAAGGGAGCAGAAAATACGAAAAGATTTAAAGTTATCGGAAACTTGTTTTACAAGTTACAAAATAGAAATATTAAAGCAGTTATTTCCTCTTCTATGTTCTATAACTTGATGAAGCCATATAAAACTTTGTTAAGAT